CCAACCTTCTCGCCGTCCGTGCCTGGCACTCCGTCTCGGCCGTCCTTGCCTGGCATGCCCTGGGAGCAAGAGACAGGCTGAGGCCGGCTCCCAGCACCCTAAAGAGCATCACTGCCTGCCACGGCCTCAGCCGTGTGGACCAGGGCTGCCCACAGTGGCCAGAACACATCTGTCCCTTCCAGCAGCCTTGTCCCAACTAGGCACCAGGACTAGCCCGGACTCTGCCCCCACACCTGGATGAACTTTGATGCTGGGGACACAGTGGGGAGGGGGACCCGCCAACCCTGCGGGGAGACCCCTCGCCTTGGCAGCAGGAGTGCTGGGGAGCAGAGGGAGGGGAGGGCCGCAGGGAAGGCCACTCACCGGCTCTCCGCCTGGCCCGGCCACTCCAGGGACCCCTTTGAGACCTGGTTTGCCCTGGAAGACAGCACAATGGACAGAGCACCAACTGCCCCCAAGGGGGCCCGCCCCGACCGCCCCAACTGCCCAGGAAGCTGCTTCTGTGCAGCTGCCCCAGGACCTGGTGTCCCACTCACCAGGTCGCCCTTGGGGCCACGGAAGCCCTCGGGGCCCCGCTCGCCTCTGTGTCCCTGCAATGCCAGAGGAGCTGGGGTGGCGGGCAGCTCTCCAGCCTGTGCCCGCCACCACTGCCCCGCCGCGCCCAGCTGTGACTGTGTCCTCGGCCCGCGTCAGGGCGAGGGGCAGGGGCCGGCCTCTCCCGGACGCCCACATACCGCTTTTCCGGGTGCTCCTGGGACACCGGGAGGCCCCCGGAACCCGATGGGACCCTGCACAGGAGAAAGGGTGTTGGGGCTCACGTCGAGGGGCTCAGAGTTCCTGGAACCCCCTGCACGTCCCTGTCAGCTGCCCAGCCTGGGCCCTGGCCCGGCGCCCTCAGCAGGCCCAGCCTCTCCGCCAGGCGGGGTTGGCACTTACCCGGTCTCCGGGGGGCCCGAGAGGCCCTGGGAACCCTGGCTGCCCCCGGGGGCCCTGTGGGGAGAGGCTGGTGGTGACAGCGGCCGCGGCTGGAACTGTCCTGGGGGGCCCCCACAACCCCGCCCGGCCCCTCACCTGCAGGCCCACGGTGCCCGGGATGCCAGCGGCGCCAGGGGGGCCGGGCGCACCCTGCGAGAAGGGGAGGAGGTGGTGAGCGACCAGTGGGGCGCCCGCTCATGGCAGACCCGGCCAACCCTCCCCCTGCAGAGGCCCCCCCGACCACACGCGCCCCTCGTCACCTTCTCGCCGTCCTTGCCGACTTCTCCTCGCTCCCCCTTGTAGCCCGTGGGCCCCTGAAAGCAGCCGGGAAGTGGCACCATGTGACCCTGCTGGCAGCAGCGGCCCCCCTCCACCCCTGGGCACACCAGGGGCCCGCGGCCTCGCAGCTGTCCCTCACCTTGAAACCGGGCATTCCTGGGGGCCCAGGGGGTCCTGGCGGGCAGATGGCTGGACACTGCGGGCGACAGAGTGCTCAGGCCCCGGCCACAGGCTTCCCTGCCCGCTGGGGCCCACCCAGCCCTGCCCGCGCCCTGGAGTTGAGCAGTGGCCCTGGTCACCCGAGCCGACCCAGCCCTGCCCGTGGGCACACCCACCTGCAGATCGGGGACACCTTCTGGGAGCACGGCAGGGTGGCCCTGGGGGAGACAGAGCTGGTTCCTGCCCGCGGCACGTGGAGGGCGGCTGGCGGCTCTCACCCCGGCTGCTGCCCCTCAGTACTTACCGGGGCGCCAGGAGGTCCTGGGGGGCCAGGCAGGCCTGGGAGTCCCGAGGGTCCCTGGCGGGGGTTGTGGCTTAGATGGGGCAGGCACGGGGCCCCTGCAATCAACTGGGTGGGGGGGGGGCGAGGACAAGGCCACGGGGGGTGCGAGGAATTGGGGGTGTTCTGGGAGGGGTGTGGTTACTCACCGGGGGTCCCCGAAGGCCGACGCCACCCGGGAGGCCACTTACTCCTGCCTCTCCCTGGGAAGGAGACATGGGGAGTGGGCCCCCGAGTCCGACCTGCCCGTGTCCCCCGCTTGGGACGCGCAGCCCAGGTTGGCCTGGGGGTGGGTGAAGGCTCTGGTACTTACGGGGGGTCCAGGGAGGCCTTTGCCCTGCGGAGCCGAGCACAGGGAGGGGGGTCAGACTCGCCCTGCGGGAGGGGACCCCGGCACCCCCCCGCCCAGGCCCAGCCCTGAGGAAGTGGCTACTCACCCCCAGCCCGGGGGGTCCCGGAGGCCCCAGGTTTCCCTGCGGAAGGAAAGAGGGCAGCGGGGTTTCTGATCTGGTCCTCACCTGGGGCCCAGGCAGGAGCCTCTGTCCAGGCCTGGACAGTCCCCCCAGCACTGCAGGAAGGGGGCTCAGCGTCCCCGCGGAGCTTCCTGCTGCTGGGCCGCCCACCCCACTCCCCCCGCCCGCCCCCAGGCCCGTAGCTGAGCCCAGGGGCACAGTCGGGGTGGGGGCCTGCGGAGGAGGGGCGCGGGGGGCTGGCAGCAGCTGCCTCTGCTGCGTCTGAGAACGCCGTCAGGCCCAGGAGGGGGGGTCGGGGCAGGAGCACAGTGCCCCCGCCCCACCCCCCTGGCGCTCGGCCCCTAGACCCCTCCAGTGACCTGCCCGCTGCCTGCCTCAGCTTACCCGTTCTCCAGGGGCGCCCTTGGGCCCAGGGGGTCCGTCCTTCCCCGTCAGACCCTGGGAAGGACACGGACGAGGTTTGAGGGCGGTGTCGGGAGAGGACAGCCCCTCCGAGGGGCCCAGAGGCTGCCTTGGCTCCGTGCCCCTTCCTGCCAGCCCACGGCTGCAGTGCTGGGGGGAGACGGCAGCCCCGCCCCCCGATGCCCCCACAGCCACCAGAGCCCGGTCAGTCGCACTGTGCCAGAGCCGCCGAGGCGGGAGCCCCTGAGGTCCCGTGAGGCCTGTGGGACCCTGGCCGCGGGGTCGGGGTCAGGGGCAGCACAGAGCCACTGCCCAGGCAGCTCCTGGGGCACAGCTGGGCAGCAGGGGAGGATGCAGACCCCAGGCCCGGACACCCTCAAGGGCAAAGGGGGGAGGGGGAGGGGCGGAGGGGGAGGGGGGGGAGGGGGCAGGGCCAGCCGGGCCCACTCACGTCCACGCCGGGCAGTCCAGGCAGCCCCGCCTCTCCCGGCGGGCCTGGCTTCCCAGGGGCGCCTTTGGGTCCCTGTGGGGAGACGCGTGAGGGGAGCTGATACCCGGCTTCTGCAGCTCTCCCCGCCCGCCCGAGGGGCTCCCGGGGCCGGTCCCGAGGGCCCCCAAGCCCCGTTCCTGGGCCTGATTGCGGTGGGGGATTCCAGGCCAGCCAGCCAAAGGCACCTGGTGGACCCCTTTCCCCTCCCCCCTCTCCACCCCTCCCCCATCCCAGACACTCACCGGGGCCCCAGGCAGGCCAGGGGGACCAGCTTCTCCCTGCAGGGTGCGGTGTAATCATGTGTCCCCACGGCGCCCCAGAGACGCCCACCCCTCGCAGCGGCTGGCCAGAGCCCCCGAGCGCCTCCTGGAGGCTTGAGCGCCCCCAACACGGGGCAGCAGGAGGGCGCCCCTTCTTGCACCTAAGCCGCCTCCAGGGCCTGGGGGGAGGCAGAGGAGACCCTCCTCCACCCTCCCCACTCTGCCTCCAGCCCGGGGACCCCAACACCAGGCCTCAGCTCCTCATGTGCGGCCCCAAGGCCACCCCGCGCCCCGCTGGGCCCCGACTCCTGTGGTGTGCGGCAGAAACAAGGCCGCCTTTGTGTGGCTGCCTCCCACCCGCGTCACCCCAGCCTGAGAGGGGCGACTAGAGAGGCAGCGACCCGCCCCCCGCCGGCCCCAAACTCACGTCGATGCCGTCCTTGCCCGGCTTCCCGGGAGGTCCTGGGGGACCTGCGGGCCCTCGGGGTCCCACTTTCTGCAGGGAGAAATGCCGCGAGCAGCTGGGAGCCCCCTCTTTCGACCCAGACCAAGGCCTGAGACCCCCCCAAGCCCCGGGACCCCCCAGACCCGGCTGGATACAGCTTCCAGCATCAGCCCGGGAACAAAGGCGGCTGTGTGCCCGGGCCCGGGCCCGTGGGGACGGCGCTCCAGGCTGCCCGCCTGTCGTCCCGGAGCCTCAAGGCCGCGCCCTCCCGGGGCTGCAGCCGGGCCAGCAGAGTCTCACCTGTGCGTGGGAGCCGGCCAGGGTCAGGAGCAGAGCGGGCAGCAGCAGGGCCAGCACGGGAGCCCCGGCCATGGCTGCAGCGCTCTGAGCAGTGGACGGTCTCCGCCCCGTGGCACAAGCCCCCGATTCAGCCGGCCCACCTGGGGCCGCCCCTGGCACTTGGGGGCCGGCCTCCGGGCCAGCGGTGCGCACACACACACACCTTTCAGAAGGAAGACAGAGCCCCTTTCTCCTCCCCGACGGGGCGCCCTGTCCCCACCCCGGCAGCCTGAATGCAGAGTCTGTCTTGCTCCCGCGACCCCCACACCGTGGCCAGAGGAGGGGCGCCCCTCCCCGCTGGCCTGGGCGTCACCACTGAAGCCTCCACTCAGCCTGTGGCCAGGACACTGCCTCCCTGACCCCCAGACACCAGCCTCTGTGGAGCCAAGGCCTGGGAGGTGCCACCGGGAGACTCCGACGCCAGCCCTCGCAGATTCCCTAGGAAAGCTGGTCCCGGCGGGGGACGGTGCCGGCTCCAACCCAGCACTGCACAGTCCCGGGGCTGGATTCCCCAGTGCAGATAAACTCCCACTTAGCCTTGCTCAGTGTGAGTCAGTGCAACAAGGAGTGGGAAAGCCGGGACTCAGAAAAACGGCGACCAGGCCTTTAGAAAGCTGTCAGGGCGCAGGGATGGCACACGGGGGAGGGCGACCCCTGCTGTATCATGGCCACCCACAGCATCCCCACAACCCAAACCACGGAGCTGGAGCGACAGCACGGCAGGGGAGGCTCTGCCCTACGCATGGCCGAGGGTGGACCCCTGACATCCTGTAAGCCCCCACCCCCGAGTCCTACCAGGTGTGACACCCCCCCAAACCCCACAAAACCAGAATACCCAAACCCAACAAAAAAACTTTATTGCTAAAAAGTGTCCCCAGGTAACCCCGAGGGAGCCATCGGCCGAGGGTGGAGGTGCTGGCAGGCTTCTGGCCCCCTGCAGCGTCCCTGCGTGAAGATACTTCTCTGGCTGCCGTGCTCGTGCCCGGAGGTCCCAGGACGAGGGAGGCCCTCTCTGTCCCTCTCGCTCAGACTGTCCCGGGCCGGCGTCTCGAAAGGACCTTTGTTCTGAGTGGTCTCAACAGGCTCAGGATTTGGGCAGTCACGGTATCCCCCCTCAGGCTTTGCTGTGTCCATGGAGGCCCGGCAGGGCAGGCTGAGGCAGGTTCCTAAGGGTCCCGAGGGCTTAGGGGGACACGAGCCCTGGCTCCAGCCTCTCACGGCCGCTTTGGCTCCTGCAGGAGAGACGGCTGCACGTCGAGGTTGGTCCCCAGCTGGGACGTCCCCTCTGGCCGCCTCTCAGGGCAGAAGGCGCCCTCTAGGAGAATCTGCTGTTCAGTGGGGCTTCTTTCTTCAGGTTCTCAGCTAGATCTTCTGGAGAACTGGCTGCAGTTGCTTGGTTGGTCAGCTCAGCTGCCTCAGCTGCCATCAGCCTCCTTGAACCTCAGGAACCAACCCCGGACTTTTCTCCTGCAGCTTCTTTGCCTCTGTCCACCTCGTGGAGGTGACATGAGCCAGGGCCTGGTCTCAGTGAGACCTGCAGTTCCAGGGCTCAGGAGACCACCGTATGGAGATCACACACCCCATCTAACTCTAGCCGTCAGGCTGCTACACACCCACATCACATAGGTGCTCTCTGCAGCAGCCCCTTTCATTTCTGCCAGAACTTTTCTTGACCCCGACCACCTGGCTCTTTTGTAAAAGAGGCCCAGCTTTGGGCCTTCCTCATTCAGCTTTGTCATTTGTAGTTTTTTATGTAGAGAGAAGTGGGAGTCTTCTTTAGGTCTGACCACTTGAGAGGCCATGGGAAGACTCTTCACGGGCATATTTCAGTATTTGTCTCAGAATCAAGAGGGAGGAGAGGAAAGGATGTGTGGGGGACAGGGCTCGATGGAGTGCTAGGGCACACATTAAGTTCTGAATGTGGGCACAGTGTGTGGAACCCCGAAAACAGTGAGCCATCCTATTAAAGGTCACAGGCTAGAAGATCACCATGACAGGATTAATAGTTGTGAAGATTTGAAATATTGGGAGAACCCCCCAATCGTGATGCAGACATGACATTAGCACCTGCTGTTGGGAAAATGGCACCAACAGGGCTGGGAGACAGAACAGCGGGTGACCCGGGTCAGCACTCGAGTGCAGTCCCTGAACAGCCCGGCGTGGCAGGAACAGACCCACCAGGAAAGTGGGCCCCAGCACTGGCCCCAGACAGCTCCAAGGTAGACGCGGTGGCGGCGGGGTCACCCTCTCTGGAGTCAGGGCCGCAGGACGCTGCCCTGGCCGACGCGCCCACACACGAGGCAGCAAAGTGGACGCATTTATTGGGAAAGGCCGCAGCACCGAGACGGGCGTCGCGCCCCAGGCCGGCCTTCCGCCACTCCACTAAGGCTGCCCGGGGCTGGCAGGCGCCACATCCTCGGGCACGGCGGGTTTGGCTTTCTCCTGCACCTCGTCTGCATTCTCTCCACCCTCGGGGCTCCTGGCGGGAGACTCCGCGGCGGGGACCGTCTTCCTTTTCTTCCTCACCTCCTCTGAGCCCTTGGCCGCAGAGGACTCCGGGCCAGGAGGCGCCACCTCCCGGGCGTCCTGGTCGCCCAGGCCGGCCTGGCTGAGCGCAACGTCCTTCAGGCCCAGCGTGACACTCTCCATGTCCTCCTCGGCCGGGTCGTGCGCACGGCTCCCCTCCAGCTTCCTCTTCTTGCTCTCCTTGGGGCTGGCATTGCCCCCTTCTCTGACTGGCTCCGGGGCGAGCGCGTTGGGGGATGCGACGGTGGGCGGCATGTCTGGGGGCACATCGGCAGGTGCGCCTGGGGGCGCGTCGGCAGGGGCATCGGGGGCCGCATCGGGGGCCACACCGGCGGGCGCTTCGGGGGCCGCATCGGGGAACGCGCTGGCGGGCGCGTCGGGGGGCACATCGGAGAATGCATCGGCGGGTGCGTCAGGGAGTGCACTGGCGGGAACGTCGGGGAGCGCGTCGGCAGGCGCGGCGGAGGCCGGTTCGGCGGGTGCATCGGCGGGCACCTCGGGGGACGCGGCGGCAGGTGCATCGGGGGGCACGTCGGGGGACGCACGGGCGGGCGGGGGGCTCCCCGGCGCCGCGGGCGCGTCCTCCCGCGCGGGCTCCTCCTGGGGCTCGTCGGGCGGCGGGAGCTTCTGCAGGCGCGCGTGGGGCGCCCACACGAAGTGCGCGCGCGGCCGGAAGTGCTCCCAGGCGAAGCGCAGCAGGAGGCGGCGCTGCTGGCGGCTGCGCACGGAGAAGACGAAGTAGTCGAGCGCGCTCTGGCGCACGGCGGGCAGCTGGCCCCGCACCAGCGTCTCCTCCAGGAAGAAGCGCGCCAGCGGCGCCTGCAGGTGCTCCAGGCCCAGCTCGCCCAGCGACTTGAGGATGCGCGTGAGCCGCAGGTTGTTGTGGCTGTGGCTGCGGGGCGGGCGGCTGTTGAGCCTGGGCCTGGGCCTGGGCCTGAGCCCCGCCCCGCGCCCCGCGCCCCGCGCTCACCAGTTGAGGTTCTGGAAGCGGGCCAGGTAGTTGTGCGCGCGGCGCAGCCGGCCGGTGCCGCGGTCCTCCAGCCGGATGCCGTAGAAGCCCAGCATGAGCTCGTAGGCCCGCACCAGCCGCTCCTGGGCCTCGGGGCAGCTCTTGAAGGCCTGCGGGGCGGGAAGGCGCGCGTGGCGTGGGCGCGAGCCCGGCCCCGCCCGGGCCCCCACCCCGCCGCCGCCGCCCGCTCACCTCGATCTCCTCCAGCGTCAGGGGCTTGGCGTGCCAGTTCACCCCGGGCTCCCGCAGGGGAAACAGCCTGCAAGAGGGGGCGGCCTTCGGTGGCGTGGCCCCATCCCCGCACCCCAGGCGGCCCCCAGCCCGCAGGAATAAGCCCTGAGCGCGGAGGAGCCGGACGCTAACTGCTGAGCGCTGCTGGGTGGACCCCGGACAGAGGAGCGACAACGCAGAAGCAGAATCGAGGGGAAAGGAAAAAGCAGCCGGCTGAAGGCCAGTCCAGGTAAGGGGGGCCAGGGGGGCCCTGCGCAGGAGGCGGTGCTCAGGGCAGGGTCGGGGGCGCTGTCCAGGGTCGGGGTGGGCGGTGCTTGGGGCAGGGGCGGGGCGGGGTCGGGGCGGTGCTTGGGGCAGAGTCGGGGGCGGCGCCCAGGGCGGGGGCGGGGCAGGGGCCGAAGGTGCCCAGGGCAGGGGCGGGGCGGGGCGGGGCGGGGCGGCGCCCAGGGCTACCCGCCGCGCTCACCACTGGATGTAGGAGTGATTGTCCTCAAGGCGGTCGTAGTCGTCCTTCCAGTTCTGCAGAATGTCCTCGATGAAGTGGCCTGGAGGGGCGGCGGGCGGTGTGCGGGGCGCCCCGTGCCGGCCCTTCTCCCCGCGCCCGGACCCCGCGCCCCGGCCCCGGCCCCCGCGCCCCGTCCCCGCGCGCGCACGCACCGTCGGGCAGGAAGCGCGTCTCGTTCCTGTAGAAGCTCAGGTTGGGCATGTCGCCGCGGCTGTCCCTCTCCCGCAGACCCTGCAGGCCAGAGGGGAGTGGCGGGGCGCCCCGGCCGCCCCCCGCCCCGCCCCGGGTCCCGGCCCCGCGGGCAGCGCCCACCTACCGGGTAGCGGCGCCGGTACCTGGCCGTGTCCCGCGCGGCGCGCCAGTTCCGGGGCCCCGGCGTCCTGGGCTGCGGGGGAGGCGGGGTCAGCGCCGCTCCGGACCCCCGCCCGGCCCGCCCGCCGCCCCCCGCCCCGCCCCGGTGGTCGCCCCGGGCAGGGGCCCGGGAGGGGCGGGCCGGCCGCGCGGGCCCGCGCCCCCGGCGGGAGCCCCCCGGGCAGGCTCGCGGGCGGCGGGCCGGGGTCGGCCGCGGGCCCGCGCGGGCCGGCCGGGGGGGCGGCAGGGGGCCGGGGGCCGGGGCCTCGGACCCCGTCCGCGCCCACCGCCGGGCTGCGCACCTGCAGCGCCGCGCGCCGCGCCTCCCGCCCCGCCTCGCCGTCCGGGTCCGCGTCCCCCGGGGCGGGCGCGTCGCCGTCCGCGTCATCGCCGGCGCCCGTGGCCTCGCCGTCCTCCCCGGAGTCGTCCCAGGTCGAGTCGCAGGCCGGGTCGTCCATGCCGGGCGGTCAGCGCGGGCCGGAAGCGGAACCCGCGGGCAGGAAGCGCGGGCGCGGGGGGCGGCGCCGGGCGGGCGCGGGGGGCGGTTCCGGGCGAGGCGGGGGGCGGCCCCGGTCCAGCAGGGGGCGGTGCCAGGCGAGGGGGCGGTGCCAGGCGGGCGCGGGGGGCGGTTCCTGGCGCGGGGGGCGGCCCCGGTCCAGCAGGGGGCGGTGCCAGGCGAGGGGGCGGTGCCAGGCGGGCGCCGGGGGCGGCGCCGGGCGGGGCGGGGGGCGGCCCCGGTCCAGCAGGGGGCGGCGCCGGGCGCGGGGGGCGGTGCCAGGCGGGGCGGGGGGGCGGTTCTGGGCGGGGCGGGGGCGGCCCCGGTCCAGCAAGGGGCGGTCCCGGGTGGGTGAGGGCCGTTCCGGGCGCGGTCGCTGGCGCGAGGAGCCGTTCCGGGCGTGGCGTGCGCGGGGAGGGGGCGCGCTCCCGGGTGCGCGGGGTCGGCCCCAGGTGCGGGGCGGTGGTCCCAAGTGGGACAGGGGCGGCGCGGGAGTGCGGTCCCGGGTGCGCGAGGGGCGGTCCCGCTGGCCGGGAGGTGGGCTGTGGGATGGAGGGGTGCTCTGCAGGTGTGGGCTCAGAGGGTGTCCCAGAGTCCTAAAGACCCTCGGCCCGAGACCCCTCCCACACCCAGATCGCCGTCCTAGCGCCCAGGTCGCCCCCCGGACCGCTGGTGCTCAGAGGCTTGCTGTGCTGTCCCAGGGAACTCCTGCCAGAACGTGATCCCCCTCCAACACTCTGCTCGGGGCCACGTCCCAGGGATCCTCTGGAAGGTGGCCGCCGTCTGAAGGCCACCCGCAGGACAGCGCCCTCTGGAGCAGACCTCCTCCAGGGTGCCGTCCCTCCTGGGCCCTCCTGGGCGCCCCAGCCCCTCCCAGCTCCCTCCCGGGGCCCACCCACTGCTCAGCTGGCCCCCTGGGTTCTCAGCGCCACAGTCGGGCCAGCGGCAGAGCTCACAGGCCTTATCTTAGAATGACGCTGCCAAGAGGCAGCAGAGTCTGAGGGTGTGACTGCCACCAGCCTCCTGGCCGTGTGTCCGCGTTCTTGCCTGGGTCCCGGGCCCTGGCCTGACCAGAGACTGAGGTGGTGTTGGGATCTGGGCTGGGGCTCCCCGGAGGTCCGGGTGATGCAGACCCTTGCTTGCCCTCAGCCAGGCTGGGGAGCCCAGGGCCGGCGCCTCACGGGCCCTCCACACATGGCGCGGCTGCAGCGCTCCTGTTCCCGTCTCACGTCTGCACCCATCGGGCAGTTTGACGGATACGTGAAGCCCTGGATAAAAACGTCCCCCTGCGGCAAAGAGGGTCCACTCGGGCATCCAACCACACAACTCTTCGGCTGCCTGTGCTTTAGTGCGTGGCTCAGATGCAGGATCCCAGCCATGGCGGCGCCAGTGGGGAGCTGGCCGCACCCAGGGACTCTGCCTGCAGGTGGCCAGGTGACACAAAAATAACCAGACAGATTCGCAGCATCTGGCGCATAAAAACTGAGGAGAAAGTGTCTCAGTAGTCAGGACCTTAAAAATAAAACATCTCAGAGAAAACGCAAGACGATGACATTTTGGAAATACTGGTTTCATAGAAAACTAGTAAAATAGGCTTCTTACAAAGGAAATGGCGAAATACCAACGGGTCATGTACATCGTTACAGTCCAGGGAAGGGGTCTGACTGTCCGGGCCGCAGTCCCTCAGCAGCGCAGACAGATGGACAGAGGAGGGCCCGGGCCCAGAATGCACGCCGGCGCTTTTATTGCTTGCTGTCTGGGCTCCTGTCGGTGCCCCACGCCCGGGGAGCCGCGTGGGCACACTCACTCCAGCCTGGGCCTCAACTCGTGCGGCCGACGTCAAGGTCCCGGGGCCTACGTTCGGCGCCGCTTGGCAGCGCTGGGGCTGGAGGGGTTGCTGTTGGCAGTCAGGACTTTGTCGGTAACCCGGCTGCGCTTCCGTTTATCGGCCCCTTCTTTGGACCCCAAGTCTGAAGAGTTCTTGTCTTTGTCTTTGCTGGATTTTTCCGTCACTTTCCCCAAGCTTCCTGAAGATGAAAAAACTGGGAGACAAAACATTTGGGCTGGAAACGACATCCAGATTTTGCCTCATCTTCCCACTCACTATGTCGGTGGGGGGCACTGGGGTGCTGCCCCCTCTCCACGGCTTTCCGGCCCTGCTCTTCCGGTCACCTGCCCGCCACCCGCACCCTCACCTCCGTGTCCACATCTGCCACAGACACGCTAATGTCCACGCCTGCCATACGCACGCGCACACAGGTCTCTATCCACACCCGCCACACACAATCACACCTGTGTTTTCACAAACCACACACCGCACACACGTGTTCACACTGCCACACGCACTCGTGCCTGTCACACGTACTCACATGCCTGTCCATGTTCACACCCACCACACGCACTCACATACCTGTGTTCATGTCTGCCATATGCACACACGCCTTTGTTCACACTCACACTCCCATCACATGCACTCCTGTGCCCGCTCACGCTCACACCCACCACTCGCACACGCTCACCTGTGTTCATCCCCGCCACATGCCTCACACCCGTGTTCACATCTGCTACAGGCATTCACACACCCATGCTCATGCCCACTATACACACACCCATGTTCATGTCTGCCACACGCACGTACCCGTGTTCACGCCCACCCCACATGTCTGCATACATCCACCATCTGCCCACACGCACACACATGCACCTGCATACACCCAGCCGCCTGCACGCGCACGTGGGCAGTCGCACACAACAGACAGCTGCCTCGGGGCTGCACAGCTCCTGCTCCTGGCCGGAGGGGGGGGGGGGGGGCGACCTACCGTCATCAGCCCCACTATGCGGGTCCACGTCTTCCTTCATCTCCTCCTTCATCTCGTCCTCGATGATCACTTTCCCTGCGGAGAACACAGCTGGCCTTACAGCTGGCCTCGGCCACTCGGGTGAGAGGTGCCGCCACGTCACGCCCCTGGCCAGGAGAGCGCCCAGCGCCCGGCCCCCTGCGACCCTGGCGTGCTGCTCACAGCACCTCACCTTCTCGGACCTCTTGGATGATCTCTTCTGGGAGGACGAAGTTCCTCTCGGGGTTCGGGAACGGGAGGATCTCAGACTCGTGCTGACGGCCAGAGGAGTCACGTGGGTTTAACGAACAGGGAAATGCACCCGGGCAAGCCGCAGCACCCCGGAGCTGGCAGGGGAGCATCAGGAAGGGGGAACCGGGGAACTGCAGGAGGCGATGCAGACGCAGGGCCTCGAGGTGCCACGCGAGGGGCTGCTCAGCCCCAGGAGGCAGAGGTCAGTCCGGGCAGCGCCCCAGGGCAGGCTGCTGCCACCTCCACACACCGGACACTGGCCGGGCCCTTAGGACACTCCCTGGCTCCAGGGGCCTCACGTCCGGGCCCCAGCCCCGGGCACGGGCACGGCCTGAAACCCAGCAGCACCCTTGGGGCCAGTGGTCTGTCGCCTCCCAGCGGGGGCCCAGCCCACTCATCGGTCTGGTCCTGCCGCCAGCACCACTGGCCGGGCTGTGAGCAGGGGCTCGGAGTCCCCAGCTCCGAGCAGGGGGTTCTGCCCTCCAGCTGCTCCCAGCTCCTGAGGGTGCATGCCGGGCAGGGGACGGCTGCAGGGCTGGCCCTCTCCGTGGCGCCCTCCCCACCCGATGCCAGCGGCGGGGCCCTGCCTGCTTTCGGCCGGGGCGGGGCTGGGGGCGGCCGGACTGGACTGGGCTGGACGGACAGCGGCCCCCGGCCCTCCCCGGGGCGGCTTACCAGGGCCTGCATGTCGTACATGGTGCTCAGGTGGTCCCAGATGACCTTGGAGGGCACCTGCCGGCCGATGTTCTGGCTGAACTTGTCCCTGATGCAGATCATGTGGAAGTGCCTGTTCACGCCTGCGGGGCAGAGCGGGGGGGGTTGGGGCGCGTCGGGGCCGGGGGGCGCGCGCCGCCGGCCGTTGCCGCCCCCCGCTCACCGACGGGCTTGTGGCCCAGCATGGCGTGGAAGAGGCACACCTCCACCTCGGGGCTCCACACCACCGTCTCCTCGGCCGGGCTGGCGGCCGCCTCCCCGGGGCCCTTGTCGCCCGCCGCGCCGCCGCCGCCCACCTCGGCCTCCCCCATGGCCCGGCCGCCGCCCACGAGCCCGGCGGGAGCGGCGCGGCCACGGCTCCGCGCAGGCGCACTCGCGCGCGGCGCGCACGGCGGGGGCGCGCGCCGGCGCAGGCGCCGTGGAGGCTCGTTGCCGCGCGCGCGCGGCGCCCCCTGGCGGCCGGACCCCGCGCGCGGGGCGCGGAGCCGGGAAGGGGGCGGGGCCCGCCGCGGCTGAGCCCCGCCGAGCCGCGTGGTCCGCAGGAAGACTGGCCGCCGGGGATAGCCTGCGGTCGCGCGTGCTGAAGGGCTCCGGCGCCCCGCCTGGCCTCAGACTCGGTGCCTGGGACCTGCCGTGCCTCGGAGGGCTCCCGGCGCGGGCGCGGGCCTGAGGAGATTCCGACTCCTGGGCGGGCCTGACCGGGAGGGCGGAGTCGTGGTGGGCGGGGCCCACCGCGAAGATGAGCCTCTAGGCGAGGCGGGGGCCAAGCGCAAGGGGCGGGGCCAGGGCTGAATACCTGGGGCGGGGCTTGGGGCGGGGCCAAGCGCGAGGGCGGGGCATCGGGCGGAGCCAAGTGCAAGGGGCGGGACCAGAGCGGAATACCTGGGGCGGGGCCAAGCGCAAGGGGCAGGGCACATGCCAGGGGCGGGGCCAAGTGGAGTTTTGGGCGGGGCCAAGCGCAAGGGGGGCCAGGGCTGAATACCTGGGGCGGGGCCAAGATCGAGGGGCGGGGCACACGAGGGGCAGGGTATCGGGCGGAGCCAAGCACAAGGGGCAGGGCCAGGGCAGAATACCTGGGGCAGGGCGGGGTAGTTTGGGGGGGGCCAAGCCGAAGGGGCGGGGCACATGTCAGGGATGGAGACCAGGGCGGAGTCTTGGGTGGGGCCAGAACAAGGGGCAGGGCACATGCCAGGGGCGGGGCCAAGGTGGAGTTTTCGGCGGGGCTAAGTGCAGGGGCGGAGTCTTGGGCGGGGCCAAGCGCAAGGGGCGGGGCACGTGTCAGGGGCGAGGCCAAGGTGAAGCCTTGGGCGGGACCAAGCGCAAGGGGCGGGGCCAGGGCAGAGTCTCTGGGGCGGGGCCAAGCCCTGAGCCTGCCGAGAGGGTCGCGGCCGCGGCAGGGGGTCAGCGTGGGCCCTGAGCAACCCCCACCTCTCAGGCCCTGGACTCTGCTGTCGCAGGGCCCCGGCCTGGCCCGTGCCACCCTGAACTGTCAAAGGCCACAGTCCGCCTGGGCACAGCGGGACAAGCTGGAGCCAAGAGAGGCTGGGTCTGGGCAGCTGGATGCTTGCCAGGGCACCTGCTGGACAGCACGGAGAATGTTCTGGAACAACCCAGGTGCTGCTTGGGGCTGGTTCTCTCTCTGTCTCTGCCTCTGTCTCTCCTTCTCTGCCACACAAGTGGTGCCCGGGGCTTATGCCTGTCTGCTCGGGGGACCATACGGGATGCTGGGAATTGAATCTGGGCTGGCTTCCTGGCCACACCTCAGGACTTGGGTGAGAAACCTCCCTTGGGCTGGAGAGGTAGCACAGGGGAGGCGCTGGCATTCCATGCACCTTGCCTGGGTTCTATTCCAGGCGCCGCACAGGATCCCCAAATCCCACCAACAGCGATCCCTGCGCACAGAGCCAGGAGTAAGCCCTGAGCACTGCCGGTGTGGCTGCCCTCAGAAATCCACTAAAGTAGAACCCTTCTGTGCTCGGGTCCTTCCCGCCCCCCATCTCCTCAGCTCGTGCCTGCACTGTGGGGGCACTCGGTCCGGGGTCCCCCTGGCCTTTGTCGGGCTCTGCGGTGCTTGTGGAGCGAGCAGCTTCCCTCCACGTCAAGTGACCACCGGCATGCTTGGCAGACACAGCCAGGAAGTCGCCCCTTCTGCATTCTTGCCTGGACCTGGGGGTCCAAGGCTGGGGCAGCTTCCCTCGCCAGCCCAGCCCACGCTCAGCCCGCGCCTCCCTGCGGCTGTGAAGGAGTCCTCGCCGGGGCTTGGATTCTCGAGCATCGGAGTCCTGCCACGGGGGGCTGCGTGGGGCTGGTTTCCGTCCTGCTGTCGCCGTGGCCAGAGCAGCTGGTGGAATGTGCTAATTGGACGGGGACTCAGGCACCGGCTCCTTCCGGGCCTCCCAGGCGCAGCTGTGCAGCCCCTTGCCTGGCACAAAGGCCAAATCCCCCAGAAGCCTCGTTTCTGGATGGAAATTTCCTTGGCAAAGTTCGCCAGGCCCCGACCTTGTTATTAGCGGCCTCTGTGACTCTGCTGGCAAGAAATTTCCTCATGCTCCTTTTCCGTGGCCAGGGGGATCAAACAGTCGTTACAACACAGGCTTCTGCCCGGAGTCTCGTCTTCCTTCGTCACCTGCCCACCGCACGTGCCTCCACTCGTCCCCCATCCACCCGTCCGCCCGTCCATCCGTCCACGCGTCCGTCCTGACCTGTCCCTGCACCTTGCTCTCGCCCCTCCCCCAGACCCACCCGTCCGTCCCTCTGCTCCACTGTCCCTCCATCTGCTGACACCCCGCCCGTCCATCGCCCATCCTCCATCTGTTTATCCCTCCATCCTGCACCGGTCCATCTGGCCAGCTGTCCCCCCCTTGCAGTTAGCCATCACTGCTCGCTCCCCCCACGCACTCACCCTCCACCCTCGCTCCCTCCCGGCTACTCCTCTCTCACTGGCCATTCACCTGCCCCGCTCCTCCGCCCTCAGACCCGCTCCCCCGCCACCGCGCCTGCCCACCCTCTCATCCTTCCCTGCACACTTCGCTGGCCTCTTGCTGGCCAACTAGGCCCTGGGAGTGAGCAGCGTGATTAGTGGGAGAGGAGGGCAGGCGACGGAGAGCACATGGTGCCCTGTGGGAGGAGAGCAGGGGGAGGACAGGGTAGGCTCTGTCCCTGCGGGGGGGGTCTCTCTTTTTTTTCTTAGTTTTTGGGTGACATCTGGCGATACTCGGGTTACTCCTGTCTCAGTGCCCAGGGATCACTCCTGGTAGTGCTCAGGGGCCATAGAGGGTGCCGGGGATCAACCCCAGGCTGGGCATGGGCAAGGCAGGCACGCAGCCCCCTGTAGCATCTCCCCAGCCCCTAGGGTCGGGGCTCTCTTCTGTGGTCGCCCCGGCCTGTGGTGTGCTTGAGCTATTGGGTCAGGTTTTGTCTTCCTCCTTGGTAGCTGACCCCGTGTGCCAGGAGAACGCGTGGGCCCTCTCCTCTCTGCTCCATGCTCTCCTTACCAGCCCAGCTGCCTCCAGAATACTGCCTCCCTCCTCCCTCCTCCTACCTGCTTGTGGGACTGGGAGTGCTCACCGGTGGGCTCAGAGGGAAGAGAGTTAGGCTTGGGTTAGCGTCAGGGTAGTCAGACCACGGTCAGTCAGGGTCAGGTCAGGTTGGTTAGGGCCAGATCATGATCAACAGGGTCAGGTAAGGGTCAAGGTCAAGATCAGTTCAGGATCTGGGTCAGTCAGGGTTAGATTGTGATCAGCCAGGGTCAGGATCGGGTCAGGTTAGAACCAGTCAGGATCAGTCAGGAGTCAGGATCAGGTCAGGGTCAGGTCAGGGTCAGGTCAGGGTCAGGTCAGGGTCAGGGTCCACATTGTTAGGGTCAGAGTCAGTCAGGATCAGATCATGGTCAGTCAGGTTCAGGGTCAGGTGAGGGTCAGTCAGGGTCTGGTTTAGTCAGTGTAAGTCATGGTCAGGCAGTCAGCATCATACAGAGTCAAGTCAGTCAGCATAAGTTGGGTCAGGTCATTTAGCATCAGTTAGGGTCAGGTCAGCCAGCATCAGTCAGGATTAGGTCAGTCAGGGTCAGGTCAGTCGGCATTAGTCAGGGTCAGGTCAGCCAGCATTAGTCAGGATTAGGTCAGTCAGGGTCAGGTCAGTCAGCATCAGCCAGGGTTAAGTCAGTCAGGGTCATATCAGTCTGAGTCAGGATCAGGGACAGGTCAGTCAGGGTCAGGTCAGTCAGCATCAGTCAGGGCTAAGTCACTCAGGGTCAGATCGAGCTGAGTCAGGATCAGGGTCAGGTCAGTCAGGGTCAGGTCAGTCAGCATCAGTCAGGATTAGGTAAGTCAGGGTTAGGTCAGTCACCATCATTCAGGGTTAGGGTCAGATTAGGCTGAGTCAGGATCAGGGTCAGGTCATCCAGCATTAGGTCAATCAGGGTCAGGTCAGTCAGCATCAGTCAGGGTTAGGTTAGGCAGGGTCAGGTCAGTCAGCATCAGTCAGGGTCAGGTCAGTAAGGGTAAGATCAGTCAGCATCAGTCAAGGTTAATCAGTAAGGGTCAGATCAGGCTGAGTCAGGATCAGGGTCAGGTCAGTCAGGGTCAGGTCAGTCAGCATCAGTCAGGGTTAGGTCAGTCAGCATCAGTCAGGGTTAGGTCAGTCAGCATCAGTCAGGGTTAGGTCAGTCAGCATCAGTCAGGGTTAGGTCAGTCAGCATCAGTCAGGGTCAAGTCAGTCAGCATCAGTCAGGGTTAGTCAGGATCAGATTAGGCTGAGTCAGGATCGGGGTCAGGTCAGTGAGCATCAGTCAGGATTAGGTCAGTCAGGGTCAGGTCAGTCAGCATCAGTCAGGGTTAGGTCAGTCAGAGTCAGGTCAGTCAGCATCAGTCAGGACTAGGTAAGTCAGGGTTAGGTAGTCAGCATCAGTCAAGGTTAGGTCAGTCAGCATCAGTCAGGATTAGGTCAGTCAGGGTCAGGTCAGTCAGCATTAGTTAGGGTTAAGTTAGTCAGGGTCAGATCAGGCTGAGTCAGAATCAGGGTCAGGTCAGTCAGCATCAGTCAGGGTCAAGTCAGTCAGCATCAGTCAGGGTTAGTCAAGGTCAGATTAGGCTGTGTCAGGATCGGGGTCAGGTCAGTCAAGGTCAGGTCAGTCAAGGTCAGGTCAATCAGCATCAGTCAGAGTTAGGTCAGTCAGCATCAGTCAGGATTAGGTCAGTCAGGATCAGGTCAGTCAGCATCAGTCAAAATCAGGTCAATCAGCATCAGTCAGGATTAGGTCAGTCAGGGTAGGTCAGTCAGCATCAGTCAGGATTAGGTAAGTCAGGGTTAAGTCAGTCAGCATCAGTCAAGGTTAGGTCA